TCTCAGGGGCATCTGCCTGTTAGAGGTTCTGCAAAACACAGCTGGGGGCTGGAGGGAGACAGGCAATGAGACCCATCAGTGCTATTACTCTTTAGAGCAATAATACAGGTTGGGGAGAAGGCCCTTCTCTCTTTTTGCTTTTTTTTAAAATAAAATTATTTTATTTAAATTGTTAAGTCTTTCTTTCTTTTTTTGAGCCAGAGTCTTACTCTTTGCCCAAGATAGAGTACTGTGACATCATAGCTCACAGCAACCTCAAACTCAGACTCCTGGGCTCAAGATGATCCTCTTGCCTCAGCCTCCCAAGTAGCTGGGACTACAGATTCCTGCCACTTCACCTGACTGGTTTTTCTAGTTTAGCAGAGACGGGGTCTAACTCTTGTTCAGGCTGGTCTCGAACTTTTGAGCTCAAGCCATCCACCTGTCTCGGCCGCCTAGAGTGCTGAGAATACAGGCATGAGCCACCTGGACCCAACCACTGCTTTCTAGATCTTAATTTTTCCTTCATTAATGAGGAATCGACCTTGACTCTCATCCGTTTCACATCCTCTGTTTCTCAAACTCAATATTGTTCTTTCTTGGTTTGCTCCTTTTATTTGGTAGAATATATATTCCTTTCCAGTGAACGTCGCAGAGGAAGAGAATGTTTTGAGAGCTTGCAGGCCAAAAAATTTTTGTTTTATCTCCACCTCTAGCAGTTTGTCAGGTATTCAATTCAAGCTCCTTGGGATTTTATAAGTGTTGCATTATTTCATTCTACCTCCTAGTGTTTATGCTGAAGAGTTCAGTGAATTTCTTACTCATAATTTCTGTTTCTAAAAGCTCAAGTTAAAGTGGTTCAAGGTTGCCAGTGTACTGCAGGTTACCGGCAGAAGCAAATGCATATCAGATCTGTAAGAATCCTAGCTGAACTCAAGTACAGTATCTACATACCATGGAACCACGTAAGCAGTTCCTTGCATAACTATATATGGAGAGGAACTCTGCCATCTCTGCAATACAGAGATGCACAAGAATGCCCCATGTTTTTCATATCAAACAAAATCTGGCAAGTTATTGAACTAAATGACAATATTGATAGGTAATTCTACAATTTAATGTCACACAGCAGGTGGGATGGACTATGTCACGTACACGAACTTAAGTGTGACTCAGTTAAGTACTTTAAGATATTTACCAAGAATTTTTCTTTTGTGTTAGCAATGTTAGTCGTAACTTTTCTTTTTGGTAATTTAAAAAAAGTTTTTTATTGTTATTCTTTGTGTGTGACTGTTTGCTGTGCATTTTGCATACAGAAGAATCTGAACCTTTCTCCTCTTAGAGGGAGGATAAAAGGGCAGGATGAGTGCATTACTTAAGGTAATTCAAGTCTATAACCAAATCATTTGTAAGTCAAGGCACATATTTAAAAGACTGTGGAAGTGGATCAAACTTATCCCAAGGCATGTAATTCTAATAAAATGTATTTTGTAATTATTGTTTTTGCATTGTTTTTTTACTCTTTCACTCTTTTTGTTTTCATCTTGTCCTTAGGTCTCACAATTCCCTTGTGTAATAGGAGAGAATGACTTTATTATTATCATTTAGTACAGGAGAAAACTTAGAGCCCCAAGTTCATTCATACTGCTAGTGATACGGTTAAGATAACATTACAAATCTTCCACCTTTAATTTCTTGGCAGTTCCTACAACATTATGGCTGTCTAAATATGTACTTGAGGCAGTGCCCATAGCTCAGTGCGTAGGACGCTGGCCACATACACTGAGACTGGCAGGTTCAAGCCCAGCCTGGGCCTGATGAACAACAATGACAACTGCAACCATAAAATAGCCGGGCATTGTGGTGGGTGCCTGTAGTCCCAGCTACCTGGGAGGCTGAGGCAAGAGAATCACTTAAGCCCAAGAGTTGGAGATTGCTGTGAGCTGTGATGCTACAGCACTCTACTGAGGGCGACATACTGAGACTCTCCCTCAAAAAAAAATAAAAATAAAAATAATAAACAAACAAATATGTACTTGCAATCAGCATTCTAGACAAATGAATATAATATCTTAAAATGCTGGATTTTTAACACACAATTACTTCTCTTCAATAAGTTAAAATTTCCCTGCCATATTATCTGTGTCATAATACAGAAGAGTCTCCAAGAGCCCTGGCTTTGACATCAGGCAGACCTGGGATCAAAATTAGGCTTTCCCATATACAACTTGCACGGCTTTGGGGAAGTTCCTGATAAGCCTTAGTTTTATTTATAAATTAGGGCATTAGTATTCATCATACATTGAAATTTTGGAGTTTTAAATAATTATATGTGTGTGCCTTAAACATATATTTCCTATCCAATATCTATTATGAATTACCTACCCAAATATCAAACTCAGACAACTTGGAATGGAGTCATAATTAGTGGATTTAGAAGCATGCAATGCTATTTCTACATTACAGTTAAGGAAAATGAAATGCAGAAATGTCAAAAGCTATACTTAGAGTGTCTTTAGATTAGGTTCTCCTGGTAGTAACAAATCCTACAAAAAATATTGCATTAAATTAAAATTTCATTTCTTTTTTAGAAACAGCAATCCAGAATTAGACAATCTAGAGCTCCATGAATATTAGGGACTGTGAGTCTTTTAATTGCTTATCTCACTGTCTCTTCTTGCCCCTTGCCCCTCTGTAACCTTAGGTGGCCTCTGTCCGTAGATATGTTTGCATTGCAGCCAGCCAGGGAAGAAATAACGAAGTGTAAAGGACAGGCATCTTTTAAGGAGATTTCTTAAAAGCCACAATAAGAATCTGTCCACAGCTTTATCACATAGCTACATCTAGCTGTCAGACTAGATAATACAGTCTTTAGTCCAGGAAGACTGCAATGTACTAAATATTAGAGGCATTCTTCTTATGGAGAAGAATGAATAGTGGGTTATGTAACCAGCAGTCCATACCATAATAAGTTTGATGTTAACTGGAGGTTTATTTGTAAATTTCTAAATTATTTCTCCTTCTATTAATAAGTGTTGCATCAGAAGATCAAAATTCTACTACTGACATTATAAATTTTATTTACATCTTCCACAGATATCTTTATATTAAGATGGACTCTTATTTTTTTTTCACTACCTATGGTAATTTCAACAAACATCCCACCAGGGGATAGATGAGCAATGTCAGTATGTACATCTGGTCCCAGCATAGTTCCTAATTAAGCTCTTATTTGCATTTGGATTATTCCTTTTCAATCTTTTTCTAATAGTCCAATACACTGTCTTTTTATGTGTACTTGACCACACAGTTACTGAAGTATGTTACTGTAATTTTTGAGAATTTATAATTTAATTATAAATTAATTATTTAATATTCATTAGAAAAAGTTTCCTTTTATTATTAATATCGTCCCTTATTGTTAGAGTTTTTCTATATTACTACATAATTACTTTTTAGACAAACTTAAGTCTCAGCTGTTCTACTTCTAAAAATCCTATTAATATTTCTCATTCTTATTGTGTAGATTTAAATTGGCATGTTGATAAGGCTGAGTCTATTGAAAAACATAGCATGACCTTAAAATTGTTTAATTTTATTAGTCTCCTTAAAGACTTCTTCCAAATGAATGTAACACAATTACACTTATTTCTAAATATGTTTGTCCTTTTGTTGATCTTATAAGTAAGAACTTTTCTGCCTTTGCATTTCCACTGATTATATTTCCCAATTGTTTTTACATATAAAAGCTATTGACCTATGTATACTAATTTAGTTCCTAATGACTTTACTAAATTTTATTTTTCCTTGTAGTTGTCTTTCTAGTTTATTATGTATTTTCCAAATACTTTCCTATCACCTGCAAAAATTGTACTACCAATTCCCCATTCTCAATTTTATACCTCTAATTTCCTTATCTTTACTAACTTATTTGATTTTAAAGAGAATGCTCTTAAGATTAAGATTGCTCCATTGGGAATGATCCTGGCATTTGATTTTAGAGTATAGTACATATTCATGTGTTTATTTTTTATAACGATGTCATGTAATATCAAGAATGTTCTTGATTTAGAATGTAATAGCAGTTTATACCACTTTCCTTTTATATTAATATATCTGGAAAAATTGAATAATTAATAGTCAAATGACTATGGGGTGAATATGACAGAAATAAAGAGTTGCATTATGATGAAGGCTATTTAAAATGGACTGGGCCAGGAGTGAGCAGTACCCTTGACCTCCTCTGAGGCATATGGATCTAATTATGCTAATAATTGAGCAATTTCAGATGTACTACCTATTAATAAGGTCAGGATTTGACTACGTGTGAGTGAAACCCAAATAACAATGGTTGAAAGATGGGGCTATTTCTTTCTCTCTCAGGTAAAATTAAAATGTAGGAATTCAGGGTTATGTCCTGGCTCCATAGTCCTCTGTGACTCTGACAACCTCCAGTTTTCCATTCTGCCATCTCTAAGATAGTGCCTTGTGCTTAGGGGTTAAGATTAGTTTTTTTAATCATTACATCCATGATCCAAGCCACACTATGAATAGAGGGACGAGAAAGTGGCATATGCCCTCCATTTAAGGGCATGTCCCAGAGAGTGTGGACACAATTTCTGCTTATGTCCCCGTGCTTAGTCACATGTTTGCTTGTGCAATGGACACTGAAAATGTAGCCTTAATTCTGGGAGACCATGTTCTCAGCTACAATTCTAAGATTCTTATGTTGACAAATAGTTTTATCCAATATATCATATACAAGCCTAATTTTGTAGTGAGGTTCTGACACTGAAGACATTGAGAAAGTCAGTTGTCTTGAATGTTAGCTAATACACAAATTTCTTCTACATTTTTACACTATCCAAGATAAAGAATACATTTTCATACTATCCAAGATAAAGAATTCACGCTATCCAAAGATAAAGTCTTGGGAAGCTGTGATCCAAGAAAATATCATGACTTCCTCCTCCATTCTCTAATAAAAACCCTACCACAATCTCAGTGGCCAGCATTCCGCCATGGCGTTCCTTCCTTCCTGGGTTTATGTACTAGTTGGTTGCTTTTCTGCTTCCTCAGTAGGGGCTTCTGATCTTTCAGATATGGAGCCCACTCTGTGGAAGGAGAGCCCAGGTCAGTTCAGCGATTACCGTGTAGAAAATGGGAAGTACCTTATTGACCCCTGGAATTACACTAAGAGAATGGGGATGTACAAAATCCTATTGAACCAGACAGCCAGATATTTTGAAAAATTTGCACCAGAAAATGAACAAAATATTTTATGGGGATTGCCTCTGCAGTATGGCTGGCAATATAGAACAGGTAAGAATGACTCTAGTTTTCATTCTAATGATCTACCAGTATCATGAAGTTCTTGGGAAATGGGGCTCTGTATATACCATGTTTTCAAAATTACCTTCCTTTTTTCCCACTCCTGATTATTATATTTCTACCTCTCTTTCTCCTTCTCTACAAACCTATCTCTTATGGGTTGTCTGTTTGTATGAGAAACCTCAGTGAGGAATAAAACATGGTTACCAACTACAAAAAGATACTGTATCTAATCTATTGGGCATTTTAAAAACACTTATTGAATTTCTACTAAGTGCTAGACTCCTTTATAAGCAAAAAGATAAAGAGAACAGGGATATACACTAAAATCAGAAGGCAATGCCAAATTTGTTTAATTTCTTGAAGTTTTAATTGTGATTCCCTCGTCATAGATATGGGTTTTCAAGGAGCATCACCTTGTTCATGAGGGTCTTTCTCTGCAGATGATTTGTTTTCCTCTGGGAAACAGGGTATTTTAAAGTGTGCAGACAGAAGATATGTTTTGGGATAAGTATTCATGAATTGAAATATATTTTGTTCCTTTTTAAAATTTTATTCAGAAGAAGCTTATGAGAAAGAGTGGTGCCTGTTGGTTACCTCAGATTGATACACAGCCAATAAGAAACTTTTGATTTATTGTGTGTGGGGTGGGGGGGGGAGAGAGTAAAAGAGAGAGAGAAGAAATTTCATTTGACAAGGAAAAGAAAGGTTATTTTCTAATATTTACCTAATATAGATAATAGGTGAAATACTTCTGATACTTTTCCTCCCTTCACGCAACCCTACTATGTAGTTTATGTTATTATCCCTGCTTTATAATTGAGGAAATGAAGGCATAAGGGTCAAACCAGGATAGATGGAGCAGGGATTGACTCCAAACCATTGCCTGGAATCTGTATGTATCTTGCTTCCATCATTTTGACTAGGTGGTGGAGAAAAAAAATGGAAGAGCTAATACTTACAGAAGCAAACAACCCTTAAGATTTATGATTCAAAAGTAAAAAATTGTAATGTTGTTAAGAAAAAAAGAAATTGGTTGAGAGACTATAAAAGATAAAGTGTGATGGGAATACAAACACAAATTATTCAGAAATAAATGCTTTTGCATCTACAAACAAAACATATCGGTGAAGCAATAATTATAGCAGTCTCAAGGTGTGCATAAGAAATACCCTTGTGTCTCATCCTTTTCCTTCTAGGCAGATTAGCGGATCCAACCGGAAGGACAGACTGTGGATCTGCATCTGGAGATCCTTTGTGCGTCTCCGTGGATAGTTGGTGGGCTGGTAGGTTCCCTTAAATAGCAAAATAGATGTTAACCTTTCCCAAAGGAAAGCATTCAAACCCATGATCTTGGAGAAAGAGACAAAACAAAAACAGTTCTGTACCTATTAAGAAAGGAATCTACTTCACCATGTACCTTGCAGTCTTTATGTTGGGATTTAAGGGCCATGATGTCAATTATAATTTCTTAGGCCATATTCAGCTTTTCATAGAAGGGCTAAAATAAGAAACTGCAAAATGTGATAGCCCTGAAGAAACCAACACTGGCAATTAAGTGGGACGTCCCTTGAGTGACGAGGAGTCTCCAGAATGAGAAAAAATTAGAAGTGACCAAGAAAAATCATGCTGTTTCATTTTGCTCAGACCAGATGCATTCAGTACTAAAACTCATAAACATGCCAGAGATAAATACCAACTGGAATTCATTTTATCAATCAGGGAGCTGAGGCTTTAGCCACAGACTTCATGCTAAAATAACTGGAGGTATTTTCCAATTTTTAATTTAATTTTATGCTTTTGTAATGAAGACTAATTGGCACAATTCCTGAGAGGGATTTCCCAGTCAGAAATATCACCACATTAAAGTTCACTTTCGCAGAGTAATGCACATCACCTGTGTCTTGTGTGTGTTCTTCATACTACTCATCATCATTCTCTTCAAAGACCCACAAACAGTCCTGGGTGAGAATTCAGATTGAGAATTCAGAGTTTGTTTTGCTCAGTTTGTTTAGTATTTTGGAGTATCAACCTGCCACTATGGGGTGGAGGTCTGTATTCACAGATGCATGGCTGTGATGAAATATTCTGCATCACTGATTTCTAGTGGGACTCAATATAGTCTAATATCCAGCTAAATTATAATGTCTGAATCTGCTGAATAGATTATAGATAGAGATTTTTAAAAAATTATAAAAGAGTCTTATTGGTCAACTCAATCATCCACTTTATCCAAAGCTTATGTAAAAATTTTTCTTTAGAGACATAAAATAAGATAAGGACTTCATAACTGCATGGCTACGAATTAAGTTTTACCTATATAAAATAGACAATACCCATTTACTAAAGCTATAAACATTTTGAATTTTTTAGACAAAATACAATTCACAACAAAACCTGTATGAGTTTTGTTACATTCTATACATAAGCTAGTAGCTTTCTTGCTTTTCTACTTAATGCTTTGAAAAATGAATATTACCAAATCCATAACAATTACTTTTTGCTTTAAAATATCATAGGCAAGTTCTTTAACCAATGTATGTTTATTATTACATATATAATATAATAATGCTCAAGGAAGTTTGGGGTTAATATCTTTTACCTGGTGCCTAACTCTTTTTCTTTTTTATTAAATCATAGCTGTGTACGTTAATGCAATCATGGTGTATAATCTGCTGGTTTTATATACCATTTGAAATATTTTCATCAAACTGGTTAACATAGTCTTCACCATATTTTCCTAGTTATTGTGTTAAGACATTTATACTCTACACTTAGTAAATTTAACATGTACCCTTGTAAAATGCACCATAGGTGTGGTCTCATTAATTACCCTCCTTTTCCCCATCCTTCCCCCTCCCCATCCCTCCCTCTCCTCTTTCCCCTTCTTCTTGGGCTTTCATATGAAAGCTATAAATTGGTTTCATAGTGAGACTGAGTACACTGAATACTTTTTCTTCCATTCTTGATATACTTTGCTAAGAAGAATATGTTCCAGCTCCATCCATGTAGATATGAAAGAGGCAAAGTCTCCATCTTTTTAAAGGCTGCATAATATTCCATGGTGTACATAAACCACAATTTATTAATCCCTTAATGGGTCAATGGGCACTTGGGCTTCTTCCATGACTTAACAATTATGAATTGGGCTGCAATAAACATTCTGGTGCAAATATCTTTGTTATAAAGTGATTTTTGATCTTTTGGATATATATCTAGTAGAGGAATTGAAGGATCAAATGGCAAGTCTATTTTTAGATCCCTAAGTGATCTCTGAACATCTTTCCGAAAGGAACGTATTAATTTGCATTCTCACCAGCAGTGTAGAAGTGTTCCCGTTTTTCCACATCCACACTAACATCTCTGGTTTTGGGATTTTGTGATGTGAGCTAATCTTACTGGAGTTGGATGATATCTCAAAGTGGTTTTGATTTACATTTCTCAGATGATTAAGGATGATGAGCATTTTTTCATGTCTGTAGGCTTTTTGTTTCTGGATCTGTTGAGTTTTTCCATGATGACTTACAGCTTCTGTAAAAATGTCCTCTGATGCCTGTTACTTCTTGTATAATGATGCATCTCTTATTCTTACAGATTTAAATTATTTTCTGTCTTCATTACCCTTTCTTGCTGCGGTTGATTCTGGCATAATGGGGATATCATCAGACCAAGTTATGCTTTTGCCACCACCCAAGGATCAGATGAGGTTTTGTTATGATGTTTCTAGCTGTCGTTCATCCTTCCATGAGACAATGAACAAGTGGAATGCCTTTTACCAGGTTCTTTTTTCCTACTTTTAGGAGATGGCAAGGGAATTTATTTTGTCATATAACAATTTTGGTTAGAATTTTTCTGTGCATTGTACAATAATATTTTCCTTGGTATGAATGTGTAAATTGTTATGTAAGATTACATAAGATAATAAAACTACATTAATAACATGCTAATAATTTGTTATAGTGGGGTATTATGTGTCATTAACACCCACTGCCCCAATACAACATTAGCACAAAATCTATCCATTTTTCTTACCTCAAATAAATTGTACACAAATGGTCAGCATGCAGGATATTTTGCTGATTGGTGAATAGTTTATTCTGGGTAATTGAGATTTTAGCTTAACTGTAGGATCTTGAAGGAAATGTAATTATGAAACTGGTTTCATAACAATCACCATATTTCAGCTGAATTAGTGAATAAACACATATGGGTGGAATAATTATGTGTTGTTCAAAATCAAATATTCAAGGACCAAACTATAAAAAAAAATACATTGGTTAAACACAGACATGGAATAAAATCAATCAGGAAAAGATACAAATGTAGATTTGTGAGATGTGTAGATTATTAATTTATTACTTTATATTTAATTAAATAGTCTAACAATTTTTTTTCTTCTTACTCTTAAGATGTTATGGTAATGTTAACAATGTTAGCAGAAAAAAAAATGACAAAGAAAAAATAGAGATTTGCTGCCAAGTATAAAATATGTAGTCTTTGAAGACACTTGAAGTTCATTTTTTTCTAGATCCATGTGTATTAAAAAATAGTGAATATTTTTGTGTCCTTTGTAGAGTGTGAGTCTTATACATATTCATTCCTAGAAACAAAATTCTACTCTTACTTAAATGCTGCTAAATTATATATCTGAACATTTTTGAATTTCAGGAACAGAAATTGTTATAGTTGCTCAAATATTAATAAATTTGACTTTAGTATTTGCAGACACCTTCTAGCAACTTTGATGACCTGCTGAAGTACTTATGGATTGCACACACCTCAACCTTAGAAGATACTTTCAAAAGTTTTGAAGATAGGTAAGATTGGATCTAAAGTGATCTGTACTTAATATGCTGAAGAATATTTTTTTTGAACCTTTCTCTTTTTTTCCTATAGTGCTTGTCAATCCCTTTTATTAAATATAAGTCTAAGCATCAGGGAATTATAGTGATGAGGCATAAATACTGTAGCATGATCAACCTTAAAAAATATTTTATGATGAAGGAACAAAATCTGACAGAAATATCTTGCATTAAATAACAAGTAAACAAGCAAAATGCAACAAATTTCTTTAATTATAGAAAAAAAATACAGTATCATAAATATGTGGATGACATTTATTATTTTGATCATCTATACTATGAAAAATTTTAGACAAATTAAAGTTATAATTTGGGAGAATATGAGCAAAACATTATTTATGAATTAGCACTCTACACCAGTAGATGGGCCATATGGGGTGGGTAAATTCTATAGCTTTCTTGGAAAGTTAAGGTCCTTTGGCAAGAACTTCAGAGGTGAGGCTAACCAGATCCTTTGTGTCTGGGAGGAGGAGGAGGAAGGGAGAGGGTTCAGTGGAGGAGGAAGAAAGGAAAAGGTTCAGGTGTGGCTGTATTAGGCTCCCAACAGGCTTCACTTGAACCCACTCCTGGGGACAACTCTAATTCTAAGCCAGGGCAACAGGCAGTGTCTTATCCTAGGTCAGATTAATCTCTTGGTAGAGCTTAGGTAAGGTTTTCTTTATAGTATGATTTGTCACTTCAGTTTTTTTCTGGTGGACGGTGGCCCCCAAGCTATATGTTATACCAGAGGCTTGCAAACATCCTGTGTAATCAGAGCACCCTTGACACTCTGAATAGAAACCAGTGCTCTACACTGAAGAATAACTTCCTTTATCAAGGCCTTAATGGCTCTTTCTCTGGCAGGTAAAGACCTCAACCAACCCAAGAAGGTATCCACAAAAATCAGTAGGTATTTGAAATTTTCTACTACCCTTGGCATCATGGTGAAATCAATTTGCCAGTCCCCTCTTAGCCCTCCCACCCACAACCTGAAATCCTTTTGTGAAGGGAGGAGGCCTAGTTTTAGATATGTTTTGAGTAAAGATTCAAATAACTTTCTGAAGTTTCATATGTGGACCAACGCATATTTTTGTACCAACTGTAGGGTGGCACCCCTCCCATACTGGGTAGAGTCACTAATAGGTTTAATAATATCATTTAAAAGATTATTTGGTACCAGAATCACTTCTGTCTCATTGTATATCTAACCATCATGAGTCATGTGGCCAGGGTCAAATACCCAACTGAGTGTTCTATTTAGGTCTTCCTCTGAGCATATGGAAGGTTTAGGGCCAAGATCTATTTTAGGCAGCAAGGAGATCAATAATGCCTTGGGAGCCTTTTTTCCTTGCTGGGTTTTTTGTTTTTTTGTTTTTTTTTTTTTTTGGGTGGTCCAATCTGCCTGATGATTTCCTCTTAGCACCAGACTGACCTCCTGATGTTCAAGGCAATGTACTGTAGCTACTTCCTTGGGGACTAAAATGGCATCTAGCAAGGCTAGGACTTTTCTTAGCATGCTTATGTCTTTATTACCAAAGATTAGGAGTTCCCCTTTACTCCAGATGGCCCACTGAGCATAAACAGCAGAAAAAGCATAACTGGAGTGCATGTAGCTGGTCACCTGTGCTCCTTTACCTGCCTGGAGTCCCCTAATGAGGGTTATGAGTTCTGCTTTCAGTGTTGAGGTACCAGAGGGAAGTGCTGAAGCCTAGAATGTTTGTTGATGAGTCACCATCTGAATCTGGCCCTCCATTGTCCTTGATCCATAAAACTGCTTCCATCAGTAAACATCACTAAGGCTGGGTTTTCTAAGGCTATATCAGTTAGATCTTGTTGGCTAGAATAAACTTGTTCAGTGATGTATAAATATCAATGCTCAGTTTCACATGGTATTTAAGGAAGTTAAGGTGACAAGATTTAAGGTAGAGACAGCTCTCAACATTACATTTAGATTGTCTAAAATAGCCTGATGCCTGCCAAGCCAGAGGTCAGCCAATTACTCCTTTCTGTGCCAGCAAGGGGAAAACCCAATGGTGGACTGGCCTAATGTAACCTTTTCTTCTTCCTGTAGAAAGTCATAAGCGGCAAGAACAGCCACAAGTCAAGAAAGCCATCCCTTTGTAACAATGTCCAATTGTTTTGAAAAATAAACAACAGGTCTCTTCCCAGGTCCCGAGTCAACACTTCCAGACTTATTCCTTATCTCTTATGTATAAAAAGATTGGAAGGTTTTCTTCTATCTGGGAGCCCAAATGCTGGAGCATTTAGCAGCTTTTCCTTGATTTTAAATAAAAGGCCTTGTAACAGTCCCCAGATCATTCCAAAAATTCATTATTTCTTTCCTTTAAGACACATATAGGGTGTTAGCAATAAGCCCAAATTTAAGACTCCGTAAAAGACAGAATCCAGCTGTGCCTAAAAACCCCACAGCTGTTGCCAAGTGGTGGGTCAGGCTCCTCTGGTGAGTGAGGCCTCCTTCCAATCAGGGTCTGGTTGATATCATTGGGTTTCCCCAAATGCAGAGTCTAGACAATGTCTTAAAGGCCAGCCTTAGGCTTTACAATAGCCGTGTTATCTATAGAAGCACCAGTCCTAGGCTTTACAGTAGCAATGTCACAAATCCTGCACTTGTCAGGGCGAATACATGTTATTAAGCAGGAAGCAGTTACAGCAGTGAGGAAGGTAAGGAACAATAGCTGATTGGCTTCTGGCTGTATCCATACTTATATAGAAATCAGACTTTTATGCTATTTTTACCTTAAGGCTTTATATTATAGGTGGTTTTAACACCTCAGGGCACAAATTTCTTTAGTTTAAGAAACCCCTTTGTCTGGGTTTGGGTTCAAAATTATGTACAAGTAGATCTTCTGCAGCTTCTGTAGCTATAAAGATGTGTAACTGTTTGTCTTTTGTAAAGAGTTTCCCCATTGTGGCCACTCCAACACTTAAGTTACCTTTGGTAAGCTTCACCCATTTCTCTAGAAAAGCACAGAATCTGGGTCCATACTTCTTACACACGAAATAGGTTGAAGTTCCAGATGGAGGGGTTCTGGACTTCATGGATCCAGATGAACATGTGATTTCCCATCTTCTTAACTACCTACTGAATGTAGTCTATTTTCTGTCTGATTTGGTCAGACACCTGTGGCCTCCCTAAAGGACCCAGTCTTGTTTCTGTCAGGAATTCCAAACATGGTTTGGATCAAAAATGCTGCAATAAACTGAAAGGGCTCAAAACACAAGTTCATGGTGCTTGTGTCAGAGAGGTCACCCACAACCTCAGGTGCTGCCAGAGATCAGTTGGCACTGTGGGCAGCTCTTGATACTTGTGGAGGTTAGTGGAATTGTACTTCAAATCCCACTCTGGCATCAAACTGTTAAAATAAAAATCTTAGACAAATTAAATTTAGCAGAAGTTTTATGAGCAAAGAATGACTTATAAGTTGGGTGACACCCTGAACCAACGGAGGCTCAGAGAACTCCATCCAGCAATGTGGGCAGGTAATGTTTATAGATAGGGAAAGGAAATGAGACACAGAAATCATTTGAGTGGTTACAGCTCAAGATTTGCCTTATTTGGGGATGAATTAATGAGACACTTGCCTAATATAGACATAGTTTCATCAGTTGAGTGCCTGTGATTGGCTGAAACTTGGCTGCTGTGATTAGTTAAGACTTAGTTATTTGTAATAAGAATATATTGTCAAATAGGTTGTGGTTTGTTTCCATATTAAAGTAGGTGGCATTTCACTACATACCAAGGCAGCTTTTAGGCCAAATTTAATTTACTTTAAAAATACATACATAGTATAGCAGTACATACTTGGGAAAAAATCAACTAGCATCAGGGTTAGCACACAAGATAGCCTAGAAGACTATCTTGATCTAAATATTTGATCGAGACATTTTATCAACCATAACACCTAGAAGTGAAGGTGGCAGAATAATTTGTATTTAGAAGTAAATGGCACTGTCTAAGGAGTGAAATCAACCACCCTCAGTGAGATATTGGGCAGGTATCTGGGAAGGCCATAAGCAGAAAGAAGAGCTCCTTGTTGTTGCCTAAGTAGTTATGCAATCGAGTCAGGAAGAGTTGAGTATTCATATTTCAGTTCACTGTTGTCTCTCCTACTGACTCTATCCTCCAGCAAGGTAAACATCTCGGTTGGTTAGCTGACTCAAAGGACATTTTCTCTTCCTGTTATAGTTTCAACAGCTGTGTATTAAGTTAGGCAATGAAGGATATTTTCCCCCCTTAGCAATGTCTGTGAAATAATTTGGGTTTGTGGCCAACATAACAGCTGTAATGCAAGTGTTCTTCCTATTCTGATACTGGGGAACAGGGATGAGATTACCAAAAAGGACCTTGAGTCCACCTTAATATTTTGATTGATAACAAATTATTATTATAGGTTACAAATTACTTTAAGTAAATAAATTATTTTAGTGGACTTTCTCACTTAATAAAACCTTCTTATTGATAATGAGACTGTGCCTGAGTTATTCAATAGCATATTAAAACATCTATTTTTTTGAGTTTTTAAAAATTTTTTCAAGTTAATCTGAGGGTACAATTTTTAGGTTACATTGTTCTCATTTCTGGGGTAAGGTTCCATTTGTAGAAAAGCCCCTCACCCAGGGGGCATGTGATACACCCTCCCAATGGGCACATTTGGTGACATACTTAAAATCTTACAGTAGTGAATGGCAGGACTAGTTCAAATTCTCTGTTCCGGCACAGCTGGCCTTCTTGCCCCATATGCTGTTCTGGCTGTAACATATGTGGCTTGCAAATTAGATTTCAAAGAACGACATCTACTAAGGGTTCTTCTTTATTCTTAAAAGTTGTATTAAAAAATAAAAACATGCTTAAATACTTGCAATGTGTAAGGTAGCCGAAACAAATGAAGCAGAAATTAAATACAAGGTTCACCTTCTTTTATGAAGACTCTTTTCAATCCTAGAGGGATAAACAC